TGAATTCTGTCTCCTGTTCGGTAGATTTGTGTACAAGGCTGTGCTGTGAGTAAGTAGAGTCCTCAAGTGTAGCTGCAACACTTTGCAGTTCTTGTGCACCTGAGAGAAAAAACATTATGTTTTGATCTTAAATTTTCTCATAAAAGGGTAGAATATATTATATTAATTTCTGTCGTCTTTTGTCATGATTCATTTTTTTGCAATGGCTTTACTTTTCAGGAAGAAAAATCATTGACAAGCCCTTCAATTGATAATGACACAAAGCTGGCGTCCAAAATTGAAGCAAAATTATTTTACTTACCGGACCTTCCCAAAGATCCATTGGGAAACCTGTCTTCTCTGTCAAGTTCCTTGGCAATTCTGCCATTACAGTGGCTGGCATCCTCCTCAGCTTTGACTCCAGCCCTGTCCTGAGCCTTCCGTGCCTCCTGCACCCAGTCTGTGCGAGCGATGGTGATTAAGAAAGACACACACTGGAAGATGGTGGCTATCCCCAGTCCAAAGTACAGCCCTGTCAAAAACACAAGGTTCATACACTTCAACATTTAGCTCAGCAAAGATACATGTACATGTAAATTCTAAAGTAAGTCAAGGGTTAACTTTTGCCCAATGAACAGATTAATGCTGGTGTAAACGTATCAATTTCCTTGCCTGGAGACAAGCACTCTTTTGTATTCCTGCTTGTTCACTCGATGAATAAAACACAAAATACTGAATAGAGTATTTTCAACATTTAGTTGATTTACAGAATTTTAGCACCCCCAAACTACATGACAGTCTTCCTTTTCTTCTTTCACCTTCAGATATTAAATTTATCACATTCAAAGTCAAACATAAATAAAATAGTGTTTGCGTAAGGCCAAACCTTTCACTCCTAGATGTAGCTTGAACATGAAGATGGCAATAAAAGGCAGCCCCAGGACGTAGTACCCTGCAAAGGTGATGATGGCACCCAGCTTCTGCTTCCCACAACCCCGCAGTATGCCAGCACAACCAGCCTGCAATACACAATATATCTATTAGTATTATCTGATTGGTTTTCATGTCATGCAATTATACAACAGTAACTGTTATCCTAATGGCAGTGCAAATGATACAATCAAGGGACTTGATAATAAGGAGTTGTGATTGTACTTAAGGCCACACCAATTTAATTTGTTGGTTCTCGGATTCGCCTCTTCATTTTTTCCTGATTTGCAAAAAAAAAAAAAAAAAATTGAGAATCACCTGCAAAATGCTCATATTTTGCCCTGAACAGTTGAAAACAGTCCTTTTCTTCCTAGTCGTTACAGTTATTCCATCTTTCAATGCAGTAGTATCATTAGAAGTTCAAAATTCATTGTTTAAATTTTGAACCAGCCTGGTGTGTTGACTTCATACCTCCTATCGTAGCATTTGGGGCTATAATAGGATGCCTAGATCTGTTTTTATTTTTTTTTTTTTTCGCCCTGTCGCTTCATATTTTTCCTGAAAAAATCCGAGAACCAACAAATTAAATTGGTGTGGCCTAACAGACAAATATGTGGGATTTGTGGGGCCAGGCAAACCCATGAAAAGGGGGTGCGTGGAAAATCATTGAGGTTATCCGGCGGTTTTTCTATCAAAAGTCGGCAATCCCTTTTGTATGGTTCTTTTGTAAAGCGAACTAAAATCCCTCGCAAACTCTTTATTTGCTCCGCTGCACAAAATTTAGTCCTTGCGAACATAAATGCATTAACAGTACCTGTACAGTGTCTGCCAGCTGTGTCACACAAACAATGGGTAGCACTTCTCCTATAAGGCTTACAACCTCCCTGGAGAAACAATGAAAAAAAATTTAGTTTAACTGTTCCCAAGAAAGGGACAAAAATACAGGATAAAGACACCTAACAGCATTGAAGCATGTTAACCACGTGTCTGTCAATTCTTACAACATGCAAGTGCATGAGACAATGAAGACGTCAGACAGTTATAATTATACTCACTTGTCATTGGTGAACACAGAGCCGAGCACATGACGTGATGACACCAGGACAATGGAGGCAACAAAAGCATAGCAACCTGTCATGGCAGAAAAATTCATCTTAGTACCACGAGAAAGTATCTCAAAACACTACATACACAAGGATATGACAACAGGTACAATGTAATTGAAATTACCTGGTTTAGCATGTTTCTCAATTTTACTACTTATAAGACACTGCTGATGGCTGCATTGTTTGGAAGGCAGCATGCAAAATACCTGGTTGCCCAGTTGCCCTGGGCAACCAAATTTACTTGGGGCAACCTACTAGTAGTATTTTACATTTTATTTTGAATTTAATGCCCACTTGGCTTGCACCCCACTGTATCTGGCAAATGTATCAGTAAACTAAAGGTTAGAAATATTGTCAAAAGCTTATGTATGTAACATTACTTAATTTGAGGAAAGTAGTAACTTATAGGTGGGGCAACCTAATGGGCATTGTAATTTTTGCCGTAGGTTGCCCACTGGGCAACCTGGTTAGTATTTTGTACACTGGAAGGTAGGATTAGACATCAATTTAACATAATGATTGTAATACACATAACACATTCAATTTGTTAATGATGATACGGAAAAAAAACTACGGAACCATGTGGTAAAAATGAACAGAAGAAAGAAAGATCTTTACTTTAAGACTAAGATAATGGAGAATTCTAACAATCCCAAACAGTTGTGGAAATCAATCAACACATTCCTTGGCCGTGGCAATACTCACTCCCCATCTTGTGTGGAAGCTGATGGCAAGTTTATTACTAAACCACTTGACATTGCAAACTACTTTAATGACTATTACATAGACAAGATTAAAACCTACAGAACAGATACAGATTCTCCAAACTCAACTGTAACTGATCTGATAGATCAGAACATTATGTCTGACAAAGAATGTCAACTGGAATTCCACACAATCAGTAGGGAGAATATTCTGAAGCTGTTGAGTGACATACCTATGACAGCAACATGTGGTGTAGACCAGATGGAGAACAGATCAATCAGACTGGCTTCTGGGTATATAGCAGCACCTGTACGCCATATTGTCAATCAGTCTCTAACAACGGGCTGCTTCCCTAGCCAATGGAAATCAGCAAAAGTACGCCCCCTACCAAAAATCCCAGAATGCAGCTGACAGGGAAAAATAGTCGGCCAATTAGCCTATTACCGGTGTTGAGCAAAGTGTTAGAGAGAGTGGTACATGACCAGATTCTACATTATGTAACTGCTAACAGCATTGTGTCAACTGCACAACACGCATATCGTCCTAACCACTCAACCACTACTGCCATGGTTAAGATGACAGACGACTGGTTGTCAGCTATGGATAAAGGGGAGCTTGTTGGAGTTGTATACTTAGATTTTAGCGCAGCATTTGATCTTGTTGATCACGCTATTCTCTTGGCTAAACTTAAATCTTACGGGTTTCAACTAGATGTTTTGGCTTGGTTTGAAAGCTACCTACAGGGCAGAACACAGGTTGTTTATGTTAATGGTCATTTTTCCCAGCCATTGGGGCTTGACTGTGGAGTACCACAGGGCAGTTGTTTAGGTCCATTGTTATTTACACTGTATACGAATGATCTACCGTTAGCTGTATCACAATGCTCGACCGAAATGTTTGCCGATGATACATCACTTTACAGGGCTGCCAAGTCAGTCAGTGCTATTGTTGCAGCTTTACAACCTGATCTTGTAAAAGTGACAGACTGGGTCAATGCCAATCGTCTTGTCATGAACGTACTGAAAACAAAATGTATGCTATTTGGAACAGCCCGCCGGCTAGCTCTTCT